TTTTTTTTTTTTTTTTTTAAACTGATCAGAACAGATACTACACTTGATCTTAGCCAAAAGGCCTGGGCCCTTTTCAGTTGGGCAAACCCAGAATTTTCAGGATCCGACTCTTTACTGCATTTGCACTGGCCCACAGGGTAGATACGACGACAATGCTGCTTTTTCGTTGTCCAGTGGCCACTTCGTGATGTGTGGGCCTCAAAATGTCTGCGCCCAGGGCACAACCACCCGGGCCGTCAGCCCAACTGCCTGGCGCAGTTGCTTCTTCTGGAAGAGCCCAGGGTAAGGCTCAGGTTGCACTTCAACCAACTATTGTGCAGAAACTGTCTGAGACCCACATTGGAAAACGCTGAGATAAGGGCCTCTCGTGAATATTCAGGCACGCCTTCACTTAGGGCAGGCACGAAGCTTGTTGGGGGCCACATTCCAGAACATATGCATGTTGCCTAGGCCCCCCTGAGGACACAGTCCTCACACAAAGAAAAAGGAAGTACGAAAATATATATATATATATACTCTTTGGACATGAAAGCAGCTGGATACAGAATCTGGCGCAGATCCCGACGGTCCTTTACTTCACGAGCTGTATTCACCGCAGCAGCAAAAAAAAGGAATATACGCTTTGAACGTGAAAGCAGCTGGATACAGAATATAGAGTACAAGTGAGATTGTGCCCTACGTTGCGGAGTTGTCTGCTATCCGTGTAATGCACCCTGCCCCTCGTTGGCGGGGCACGAACAGAGGATGAAAAGAACAAGAAAAAACAAAGACAACCAATAATGAAACTACCTAAGTTTCCGCATAGATGCGTTCCTTGCAGTACCACTGTGAGCAGACTTCCTTCCCGGCCTTCCCCGACTTCCTTCCTCCTCACTCTGCTGCTTCTTACACTTTTTTTTTTGGTTTTGCAACCGGGCTGGGCCCACCAGTCCCAAAACGAAAGGCTTCCCGACCCTCCCGCGGGCCTCCGATACACTTCCGAGTTTTGCAAAAACTGCCACTTTTCCCCAATTTCATTTGCCTGGCAGAGGTGTGCTAGTGGTTTTAAGACAATTTAAAGTCAATTTTACACAACAATGAGAATTACATTGCACCTAGTCCACAGAGCAATCCGGCATCCAACAGCCTTCAAGGGGAGCAGAGCCCTTCGCAAGGAAAATGAGCGATAGCGCAATGACAGAATTAATTCAGGATGCAAAATCACATTGAAAGCCAGAAAATCGAACGCTGTCCAGAAAGCAGATATGCACTGATATTCGACCAACGGAGAAACAAAGCACCGAATCCAAATGTCAATGAGAGCATACTCTCGCCACCACCAACGTATGTATCCAGACCCCTTCCTCCTACTCGGCGCTAATACGCCCGGACTTCAAGATTTCTGTGCCGTAATGCTGTGTGATGTCGACGAATGGGGGGATGTGAAGTCGCAGGACTACCCTAAACCTTAAATTGGCGGACATATATGTAGGAAATAAATACCCTATTTAGTCTGGCATATATAGCCCTGCCACAAGTCTAACTTATTATGACTAATGGGAAAAGTAGGGTATAGTACCCGGTATACCCTCGTTATTATACACTATTACATCCCTAGTACTCTAATTAGGGTACACCTAAGACGGTGATACCATAATTGGCATATATGCATTAATTATGGCCCCATACCCTAATTAGGCTACTAGCCTATACCCTAATTAGGCTATTAGACTGCACTCTAATTAGTTAGGCTTTAGCCTAGTTTACGTTTACCCTAATCGGAACAGGGTTTACTCCAAGCAGGGTATGATAACACTAATTAGGGTAAGCAAGTTATGCCCCCCGAAGTATGTAACCTAAGATCCTAATTAGGCTACCCAAATACCTTAATCAGGCTACCATAATAATACCCTGCTTAGAGCACACTCAGTACCCCCTACGTATTATGCGCTAATTGCTCAATACCCCAACGAGGATACATATAATGTACCAACTGTTAGATCAGATACAGCAGTCATGCCCATGTGTGTGATTGAGAGTTTTGACTCTCCGTTTGCGTCAGAAAGATGCTTTTTTGCAGTATACTTGGTGTGCCTGTGTGTTGTCATGTTGTCTATATACAACACCAGAAAAAAACAAAAAAAATGACTGTGCCTACCTGTTTCATGAGAGCCCCAAACTCTCTCTCTCTCTCTCTCTCTCTCTCTCTCTCTC